AAAAAGGGTAAATTTCTTTCGCCCAGTACAGAAGGAATGCGACTTAAATACGTACCGCTGACTGACTGACGCTGAATATTTTGACAATTTAATTTCTCATTCAAGTATGAATAAATAACAATTTGAATGCATCTGTTTAGAAAATACCTGATTGCCAAAGATAAACTAAAATGTTATTAAACTCCAGACATCGGTTATGTCACGACTGCGTTATGTCAATCCGAGCGTCGGAGATCGGGCGTCTTCATTCAAGCTTTATTTTATTTTTAACGCTCTATATAAGCTGTCGGTTGTATAATAAAGAGGTTATTCAGCACCAACAAGGATATAACTTTTTTGTGGGCGGCGAATAACCTCTAATTTTACGACAATGTATAACATATGGTTCTATTATATTAATGATATGATTTGTTTGGCATCTAACTATAGGATGTAGGAAACCATTGACCTCACCTGAGGTACAGGTGGCGTGCAAATTTATTCCGACATAGTGTTTTTTTTAATAAATAATAAAAAAAAAACATTGTATTAATATTTTACTGCATCATAAGAAAAAGTGTTATCGTGTTGTTAGCAATATAAATGTGACAACAATTTTAAAAAAATACATGTGCAAGTACAAAAAATATTTCATTTCGTTTTATGAAGTATCTGTTTACAAAACTTTCAATGCTTTTGATATTTTATTAGATATTCAAGTTTCTCCAATGTATTTGTGATTTAGCAGGGAATACAATAACTGCCATGATTTCTTGTCGAACTGATATTAAGAACAAAAGTAAATATTATGATTATATGAGCATTTATCCAGTACATTGTGATGATATTGTTTATAGTAAAACTTAATTATCATAAATATAGGTTAGTTTAACAAAAAATTGAATATTGTATTCGGAATCTATAGATGTGTGAATTGGTTCGATGTTTTTGAAAAGTATACATTTGAAAAAATGCATATTTGTGAAAACGTCAAATTAGGGCAAAATTGTTTTGCAGCCATTATGCAATTTACTTTTGTACACCGTGACATGAACGTTATATTGATATTTGGTCGTACGTGATCAAGTATTACATTGGAGAGGGATACAGCGTTAACAATTACGTAAAAATTTGCGTAGAGCTCCATAAATCCTATAAGTGCCCAATCGAAAAATGAAAAGTTGGGAATAATATACTTACCTTGTTTTTAGAACTAAAAGTATTGTAACTGGCGTACCTGATTGCCAATTAACACTAAAACAAGAGTGTATAACTGTTGAAATAACTCCTTTGTGAACAAAGATCATTATAAAATTGATTTCAAATTTTAATATTTTTGTTTTGCCGTTTTTTTCTAATATTTCTGTTTTGTTTTATTGCTGTTGTAATCTATTAGTTGTAGCATATGTCGTTCAGTAAAAAATGCGACCGAGATATGATACAAAATGGGCGGAGCATTCACCTACATCAGTTTTTAATGAGATTGAATTAAAGAGACAACCTTTCATAAAACATATGGTTAAGTATGTGATACAAATGTTGCTGAAGATGTTGGTCACAATAGTGTACGACTGTCAAATAACGCATAAAAAAGTCGATGAAGTCATTTAACATCCGCTCACCGGAAATGGACGAATAATAAATACATTTTTGATAATATTCTTAAATTTAAAACCGTACCGAGTATTCATTAAATCTTAGAATGAATTTATCATATATATGTAATGTTTTTGAGTTAGATTTGTGACAAACATTTTACAGTAACTGTCCCAGTTGTACAGGAATAAATGCGCGACGTTTTCCAAAATACGTTGCATGTCATGTGGCGACACGAAGAGGCGGATGAATACACACATGCCCTCAAAAGTAACGTATGTTCAATGTTCATGCATGCATTAAATATTCAAGCAATTGAGTCATTCTTGCTTTGTATCCCCTAACTACGAATAAAGCACTTATGTTATGTTCAACAGAATCAACAATGTTGTTTGAAGTTGCTTTTATAACTTCATCACGGTTCTTGTATCTAAGATCTATAGTTCTAGCTAGTTGTAGTTGTAGTTAAATGGTGGTTTTATGAACAAATTCAATAATAATTAACTATTACACACCAATACACAGAGGTCAGGTGTGAAATAAATTAATACACTCGCTAAGTGATGAACAATTGACACTAAGTATTCGCCATAACTCCTAGATTATATTACTTATATCTTTGTTCCACTGAATGCCATATGGTCGCTAAAATATGACTTTATACAAATGAATTTTGAAGAGGATTAAAATTCTTTAAATAGTGTTGGAAACAGCTTATTGACTGTAGTGCGTTTTACCAACGGGATACAGTCACGTTTATAACTCCGTACAGGTATGTGTGTTTACATAATAGTTTCGGAGAACGTCCCGATTTTGTTATATATTGAAAAGCTGCAGTGTATTTGTCTTTTCTAATTAGGATGTTGGGAAAACATATTCGGTGGCGACTACATTAATTATATTCAACAACTGTGTTGTTACAAATGTCGCCGCCATTGGCGACGACACCTTCAGTTCTCAATCACGAAGAATCCGGGTAATGTACAATGAACAGCTACGAGTATGATATTAGGCTCTTCTGTTTCACCTATGGGTTTCATTGCTTTTTCCTCAGCACGTGAACTGATAGATGAAAAATGTCAGTTCGCGGTCTAGAGAATAGTTAATTGGTGTGGTTATACTAAAGCCAACGAATTAGTAAATACAATATGTTGCTTTTGTTGTTGGCTTGTTACGTTACGAAGGTCGAGTTGAACAGAACAAAGTGTGTAATTATAGCTTTTTATCACGTAATTAGGTATTAATTAGCAATGTGTCATTATATTTTTATTGTAACAGTTTTGACAAAGTCCAAGTGCAAAGATGAAGGTTTTTCTAATAGTTGCCTGTTTAAGTGTAGCGTGTTTTCTTGGTAAGTTGAATTTCTCGTTTTTAAGGGTAATTTTGTTATCTGTCGCTTTCCTGTTTGATGGAATTCCGCACTATGAAAACACATTTTTGTAGGAATAGAATAAATATCAGTGTGAAACGAAAACACTATCTCATCGCATTTCTCGCATGTATTAAATCCCTAAGTAATTTCGAGATTAAGTTGAAAGACTCCTGTTACGACGCTCCGTATCTGTATTGCATTCATCTTTAATGTGTAAGAAGATCAAGTTGCAACTCAAATGTTAGACACCAAAATTCCACTAAATATGCCTGAAATGTTATATTACACAGACGATGACATTGTAACACTTTTTACTGACATCAAATTTGTCGAGTTGGAGTGAAGTAATTTTCAACAATATGTGACACAATTTTTTTTGTTTTTGGCTGATATGTGTTTGTGGAAATTGATTGAAAAAAAAATCGATTTCTCAATTAAAATATATTGGTGTCGTCATCTAATTATTATATTCCAAGGGTATATTCAATTGAAATTCTTCTTTGTACATACTTCTAGTGGCCTTGAATTTGAATGGACAGTTTACGATAATACTATTTGGCCTTTATAGCAATAATTCAACAGCAGCATATGAGGTGTCGGTATCCAAGGTTATTCGATCTGCTATGTCACATACAACATATGCAGATATTTTAAAGTTTCTTACCTCTTCCAAACTAACGGTTTTCAAACGGGTTTGTTGCTGATGACCCGAATGATAAAAAAATAAAAAATACTGTTACAAACTAAAATGTTTATAAGATGTTATCAGCGACATTTGTTTGATGTAGACCTCAGCTCCCCTAAAGGAATTATTTGAGGGTGTGGCTTGAACAAATTCACAATGTCCCGTGGCGTTACCTACATATACACTATGTTTAAATTTATTAAAAATAGTAGGCGAGGTCAACATCATACACCCACAATTATTTCTTTGTGTTTCATCATCTGCTGGCACTGACCACTGATTAAATTAATATTCTTTTCTAAACGCAAATTTTCGAGGTAGCGGGGAATTATGACCAGTAACACTATTTTTTGGCTTGTTTCTCATCATTGCTGAAAATCACCAGCTGTAACGCCACCGCCGATTATATTGCCACAGTCTAAATATACTCACATCATACGTAAAATAAACAAATAACAAAAACGAATTACATCATTCAGCCCCACATGTACATGTGTCTTTCTCTCACTACTATTTTTTTTTGTGATACTTGTAATATTTAACTTAACTTGAAGAATTATGAGTGATGTTTTATATCTAATGCATGTAAATACTAATCTAATGCAAATCAACGTCGAAGGCAAAAATGATCTCATCTTGAAGCGCGGTGGTTGTGTGCATCGCGTGTTAAAATTTCATGTAAATAAACAATGTATTTTACACGCGTTGTATACGTCGCTATGAGTCCCATATCGAACAGGACGCGGCACGACGACCGCCGCCCTTTAATTTCACGTATGTTGCTCAGATATATTTCACAATACTATCTCTAGATTATTTAATACGCTTAAAATAGTTCATGTCTGTTAAATTTCAATTAAACATATGCCCATACTGTTTTAATAGCACTTTAAATGTGTATATTGTCACCCATCACATACAATAATTCAAGACTCTTGTTAACAATTACAGAGACTTGTTGTTGGTGTATTATCCATATTGAAATAATTGAAATGGAAAATGTTGACTAAAATGACTGTATACATTAGTTCTACTAAATTATTATTATTATTATTATTATCATCCTCGTCAGTTTTCTCTAGAGGCATGCTTTTATTAACAGTGTATCTACCTTCACATATTGTTGTTGAGGAACCGGGCTTTATTTTACATGTATTTTTGTGACTGTAAATAAAAAATAGATTTGCAGGGGGGGGGGTACGTAACGTACGTAACCATTGCCGGAAATTATTTACATTATCGCTGCTGGTAGAAAAGAAATGTAAAGTATTGTAAACATTTCACCGTTTTTTTGTGTGTGATTTGTTATCATTATTTTGGCCGTGTTAAAACAACAATGCTAATGAAATGTAACATTACACATTACAGTTGCCGAAGCTTGTAATTTTCCTTACTTTATGATACATGGGCCGGCCATCGATGATATATACGGAGATTGTAGAAACAGTGATCGACACAACGATGCTGAGGACATTGAAGATGTTTGCGCCCTCGCAAAGCAGCAAATGGTAAGATAATATACCGAGTTGTGCTAAACCATACGTCATTATATACACTGTAGTAAACATGTTTATGTTTATAACGTTTGTAAATCGAAATTTGAAATCAGTAAAACAAATTGTGATTGGTCAACATATTCCCACCTCACGATACCTACTTTATTAGTCCGCCAAATCTGTGACGTTATTGCGCAAGTTTATACACATTATTATTATTATTATTATTATTATTATTATTATTATTATTATTATTATTATTATTATTATTATTATTATTATTATTATTATTATTATTATTTTTATTATTATTTTTATTATTATTATTATCATTATTATTATTATTATTATTATTATTATTATTTTTATTTTTATTTTTATTATTTTTATTATTATTATTGTTTTTATTTTTATTATTATTATGTTAGATGTGACTCATACAGCGCATGCAAAATGTTTTGTATCACAGAAATTCGTGCACAAGTGAAATAGTCAGGGTTGCTTCAAAAGTAATATGAAACATTGATAACAGCGGTTTTCTAGTTTTTAAAAATCGGTGTACAAAAAAATCCTTGTTATGCTATGCAGTTCATGGGTGTTTTTTTGGTTATTAGAATTGAATCCAATTATAAAAACATTTACACGTTTACAGCCAGGCCTAAAGAGCCTTCGATTTCTTTTGAAGTTTTCTTAGTTTGCATATTTTTCTTCTATATTGTCTATGATTATGTAGCGCACTCATTGGTGACTTTTTCCCATAATTTTTTGTTGTCGGACCACTGTGGTGTTTCGCAGACATTTGATATGAGAAGCATGATATTAATAATGATACTCAAACTAACATTAGACTGTTTTGTTTCATTTTCAGTGGTATTGTCGATGCGTCGATCCTCAGATAAAGGCTTGCATGGCATTATTTCACAGCCAAGCCACTATTGACACAGAATGTGCTAACGCTGCGGACGTCTCTGACAATTTTGTATGTCCATAGACAAATGCCGTCATAGAAAATTTATTAATTATTCGTCAAAAAGTGAATTACACTTTAAATGAAATTTAAGAAAGTATGATTTTAGTTTCAAAAGATGATGTGAATGGTGTATTACCATGCATAATGCGGATTCAAATTATTCCATCCTGCACCAATGCAAAGTAAAATTATTCCTTCATTCATCGAAATCAAATTAACCCATCTTGCATTATGGGGGAATAAATGCTTCCATGATGCCACACTGGAATTTATATTATCCCAACATGGATCATGTTGCATTCAAATCACCTCACAAGCATCATGATTCATTCAAATTATCTTATCAAGAACCATGATAAATTCAAATCATCCCATCAAATATCATGATGCATTCAAATTTTCTCATCAAGCATAATGGTTCATTCAAATTACCTTATAAAGCATCATGGTTCATTCAAATTATTTTATCAAGCACCATGATAAATTCAAATTATCCCATTAAATATTATGATGCATTCACATTTTCTCATCAAGCATAATTGTTCATTCAAATTATCTTATCAAACATAATGGTTCATTCAAATTATCTTATCAAGCACCATGATAAATTCAAATTATCCCATCAAATATCATGATGCATTCAAATTTTTTCATCAAGCATAATGGTTCATTCAAATTATCTTACCAAGCATCATGGTTCATTCAAATTTTCTCATCAAGCATCATGGTTCATTCAAATTATCTTACCAAGCATCATGGTTCATTCAAATTTTCTCATCAAGCATCATGGTTCATTCAAATTTTCTCATCGAGCATCATGGTTCATTCAAATTATCTTATCAAGCAT